CCTTTTTGAGTGACCAGTCTACTACGAACCCATCACACTCAACAGGGGGAGACATTCACCAAAGATTTTCTATACAAAACCAGACAATACCAAACGTACTAGAGAAGGGAAGAAACTTCTTACCTTTACCCAGCAACCCCTAAACCAGAAAAATGTAGGTTTCCCCCAAGACCCAAAAAAACACAATATTCCCTCAACCAATCACTCGGGTATAGCAGTGCTCCCACAAACACCGGAGTTCTTGCCAAACATTTTTTCCTGCCTTCTGGGGACCATAGCCCCGCTCATTTTAAACACTCAGACCCCTTCTCAAACCGCATCCGAAATTCTCCACTGAACAAGAAACAAAGCGTTTGGCGTGACTTCCCTTTTCACAAAAGTCCCTACCACAAAACCATCGGGGTTCTACGCTAAAGTCAATCAGGCCTTAATTTTCCCTCTCCCTCCCTAATTTTTTTTTTGACTTGATTGAACCTGTGTTAATTTCAACTGTTTTTTTTTCAATAACAGCTCTACAAACAGACCACGGCATGGGAAGGGGGGCCCCCATCATGCCGCCCTACCAACTTATACAGGAACCCTAGATTCCGAACACTCGCCAACATCATCCCTTCAAGCGTCATTTTGGTTTCGTTACGTGGACACGTCCTCGTTAATAACTCCCAAACTTTTTGATGTAGGGAATCTTCAGGCAAGGCTAAACGCAGTTAAAAACCGGTGATCCATTTACCTAGAAGAAGAGTCCAATCATCCCTTTTTTCTAAACGTCCTCATCACAAAGTAAATAATCAAGATTTAAAGTATCCCGGAAAACCTACAAATAAAAATGATCTCACACACTTCTATTCCAGTAAAAGATACCAAGACCAAAGGGGCCTCATCATGGGTTTTTTTCCTAAGAGCATACCGAATTTGTAGTCCTGAGTTTCTTGACGAAAAATGACATACATTCCCCAAAAATTTTCACTGAGTTACTTTTTCCCTTCCCTTTGCATCAAAGACTGAAAGAAAAGGCTTTTAGATAAATTCTCCACGCCCCAACATCACCCCCCAAAAAAGTTATAATTTTTCCCAACAGCCAGGTTGCACTGAACATTTCAAAGTACTTTCACAAGCTAACCCAGGCGCCACGTTTCCACATTTTCAATAAAGGATCTGACCGGGAAAAAAATCAAAGCACCCACGAACCATCAATGCGGGGGTTTACCTATACCTGTGGAGGTAAAGTTTATGTAGGTGAAACAGCAAGAAACCTCGACACCCCCTCAATGAACACTTTTAGCATGTAAAACGAAATTGAACAACGCCTGTGTACAACACCGAATTCCCCCAAAATCATCCATGGAATTCGGGGACCCCCAATTAGTGATCAAAGAAACTAATTTCCGCAGACGCAAGTGCCTCGAATCAGCACTAATCGCTGTTTCGAATAAAATTTAAAACAAAACAAAGGCAGCTTCCCCATCTCTGAAGTTTTGAAAGAATCCTCCTGAAAACAGTAAACCCTGCCATACTAGTCTTCCTTTTAATACAACAAAAAGCACATTATAGAAAGAACACTGAAAAGGCCCCAATCCTTTTCTAAATTTGTCTAACCCCTTATTTTCGTTCCCAAGTAAAAAGCTTTGATATTTTACTCATGTACCAATTGTATTACAACTACACTACCACATATTCACCTCACTCTGATCTTATATCCCTCTGTGCCATGATTTTTTTGAACGGCTTGACAAAGCTCCGGGAAGCAAACGTTGCCAAAAAAATGTCCATTACTTTTCACTTGTGTCCTTTTACTTTACATAAAAATATTTTTGTTTGGGTTGGCTAAATTAAATTGCGCTTTTTTAATAAGGTTTTTGTATGATTGAAAAATTAACACTGTCACTCTTTGGGTTTTTTATGAGGAAAATTTTGCCACACAGTGGCTTCATCAGTCCATCAAAGGAGAATTTGAAAACATGTCGGTTCTCTGAACCATTCATCTACGACCTGTCAGACACTGCAACTTCTTGTGATCTTAATACTTGGGAAATTCTTCGCTTGCCTAATTCTTGGGCAGACCTACTTTAACTTGAACAAATTTACACGACCTATGACTACTGCACCTCCCTGCCAACGGTTTATAAGCTGCTTTTCAGCACGTATGCCTATTTATTCAAAATTGATGGCTGACCCCATCGACTCAAGGTTGAGGGGTGATTACCTAAATTTTTCTCCCGTTCTTTAAGATTCTCCGATGAAGCCACTTGGGCGAAACGTTTTCCTCAAAAAAAGATACCCCAAAATTGCACATGTGTCTAATTTATCAACAGTCGGTTCTCTGAACCATTCATCTACAAAGGTTAGGGATGTTTTCTAAGGTTCTTTTGGGACAAAACATTAATTACATAAACTTTTAAAAGTATAAAAAAAATTTTAGAAAGGCTTAATTTTAAAAGAGTTTTGCAATTGCCATTTTACTTATTCGGGACGACATATAATATTTTACATTTGTAAGTTATGGCATTTCTATGTGCACATAATATCCCTTTCCATGCCTCAGCATATTTCCGACCACCTTGATTAACGACGAAATACAAATCTATATTTTTTCCAAAATTCTACTACATTTAAATTCAAGAACGTGAGGCTTCTTTTGAGTGGATTATCTTCTCGTACCTTGTTTGTTCCAGAGGCAGACAAGTTCACCCCTTTGGGCCCTTCCAGACAAAAAAAAAAAATGCCATTTGGGGAAAACCCCGGTAAATGAGGCAGGAGTAAGACATTAAAAATTTTTATTATTATTATTATTTTTATTTTTATTATTATAAAAAAGAAATGCAAACAGGGGTAAAATTTTGAAAATCCTAGTTATACTTTTGTTAGCGTGTTAGATACAAGTTGTTAACCTTTCGCAGAATAGTTTATTTTTAGTCCTTATTATAGTGTTTAAAAAAACAACAAGGGGACCAGTTCATTATTTATGGCCTCACTGAATTCCTGAAAATTTTAAACTCTAAAAAGTGAGTTTTTTAATTTTTTATTTTTTTTTTTTATTTACAATATTTTATAATCCCACAAAAAATTTGATTTTAAACTCTATAAAAAACGTAGGTTAATGAAAATTAAAAAAAAAAGAAAAAAAAAATGCACCCCGGGTATGCACAAAGCCCTAAAAATATAAAAATATTTTTAGTTAAAAGGCATCAGGTTTTAGTGACAGAAAAGGCTTTTCTCTGGTTTTTTACACTGAAAAAAAAATAACAAAAAAGGCAATTTAAAAAAAACATAGCTCAAAGTGAAAACCCCTCAATTTTTAAAAGTTTTGGTAAAAAAAAAGGCATTTTTTCATTACTTTTCTGAATCCAAAGACTCCAAGATTTTAAAAATGTCATTAAAATATAAAAAGTCTTAACTTTCAGGCCCCCATATTTTTTTTGAATGTATAAGTGTAAATACTTTTAAAATTTCACAAATACTTGTTTTTGAAACATGGGTTTTTGCTAAAGAATCTTGGGAGGTGTTTTTTTCTATATATCGAATTTATATAGTTTATGACAGTAAATTTGTTATTCGAGTTTAAGTTTCTTACCTCTCTCCTTCTAGAGATGGCTGTATCAAAACCTCAGTTTTCCTTTTTTTTTTTTTTTTGAGTTTAAGATGTTTGGAAAAAGTGCATAATAAAAAGAGGGTTTAAAAAGAATTGAAAAATGAGTTATGCTATGTATTTTTTAAACATTCCCCTAATTACAAGTTAACTTTAAAAATTTTTTTGTCAAAACCTCAGGATAAGTCACTACTGTGAAATAAAAAAGGGGAAGAAAATCAGGGAAAGGGGAAGAAACGATCGAAGCCTTTAAACAGGTACGGTGAAAAGGTGAGAAAAAAATAGAAGACTGGTCACATGAGGAGAAAGCTAAAGGCAGGGCAAAAAAGAGGTATTTTGTCAACTAAGAACTTTTCAATAACAGTAAGGGTTACAGATGTAAGCATCTTCAATAGTATATAAAAAATAAATGCACAACATCGTCAAGGTAACACTGTGGAACCCGGGTCCCATGTGTGGTATCTTAACTGCCAGCCTTACCGCTGACAAATTTATAAGTACGTCAAGATATGCTCGGTATTTATACCACCCCAAGTCCTTTTCCTTGCCCCCTTCCCCCCAGCCTGTAATGTGTCTTTGGTTGTTTTACCTTCCCCCAATCTTTTTACTTCGCACTTGAGGGGTTAAACTTTGGGGGGAGTTGCTGACCAGGCTTGCATCCCGTCCAATCCCCTTTTTAGTCCTACCCGTCCTCATCCACTAAAATTTCCGTATCACTTCATATTGTCTGCAAACGGGGCAACTCTGTATCTATCCATTCCGCCATGTCATTCACATATAAAAAAAACAGCACGGGCCATAGGACTGACTTTTGGAGCCTCGCTCTCACAGGCGCCCACTCTGACACATCGTTTCTCCTCACCCCGTGTGCGTGTGTGTTGTGTGTGTGTGTGTGTGTGTGTGTGTGTGTGTGTGTGTGTGTGTGTGTGTGTGTGTGTGTGTGTGTGTGTTTGAAAGCAAGACGAACGCCAGTGAGGATGGTGAGTGTTTTGGTTGTCCAACGTTTAAAAAACGATGGCAGCATTGGAAAAGTGAGGGAGGTTATTCACGAAGATCCTCGTCAAAGTATCCAGGACATTGCAAGTGTTATGGTAAATTTATGTTGGTCGTGTCAAAGAATTTAGACTAAAAATTTGTACATGAGGCGAGTGACTGCAAAATTAGTGGCCCTCTTAATGACTCAAGACCAGAACATAGTTTTCTGGCAACATGCGACATGGCGATGGTCTCCCACACTTCAAGTTCCCCAAATCTAGCTCGCTGTGACTTCTTTCTCTTCCCAAAAATAAGGCTATATATATTTTTCCGCAGCAGTCAAAGACACTTTTAATAGCACCCTCATGTTTACATTAAAAATGACCTAAGTAATTTTTTTTTTTTTTTTTTTTTTTTTTTTTTTTTTTTTTTTTTTTTTTTTTTTTTTGATGAATTACCCTCTATTTACAATATTTACAACATTTCTTTAGTATCCCCCAAACAATGCATTAATTTTGCATTCCCTCACTTTTGTGTAGACTGGGATAGTTATTCTCATTCAGTGTACCATACAGTCCAGTGAACATCACATGACATCTGCAAAGAAAGCTTATTCAAACCTGTTTTATACAATTATAAGGAAACTCCAAACTTGATATCAAGGTTATTTTTTACAGCACAGAAACCAGAGCATTTCCATACCAAAACGAATTGTTTGCAGGCATATAATTTAATGCATTATCACTTGCACATTAGGTAGTAGCTGGGAAAGGCATAAACTACAATATTTAATTTTATACTATCTTATATCATTGTTCTCTCTACTACTATGAATATGAGCAAGAAAATGGCAAGTAGCTTCATATGTTATAAATATACTTCCTGAAGCACATCCACTTTTCAACATGGATGGCCACAACCCCTTATAACAGCCTAAGATACCCTCTTCCTTCCACATTTGCACGATACATTTCCAAGCATTCGGGTACACAACCACCTTGCCAAACTGCCTGCGGGCTTCCTCAAAGCCCCGAATTTGTATCCTCTTCTTGAGCACATCCAGAGGGTAGATGCACACCTTGGCACACACTCCAGATGCTACCCCACTAACTGCACTTGAGCTTAACCATGGCACCTCACCACCATCTCCAAAGCTCTTGGAAGCTAAAATGAAGAAAGCATTGTAGAAATAAAAGGTAAGACCAGTGTATGGAGCAGTCATGGCCAAGGTGGGCACCAAGCCTCGCCAAAGACTCAGTATTCCTTCTTGATGTAACAGCTTTCTCCAGGCATCCACCATCCCATTGTAGCGCTTGGGAGTTCCCTGTGCGATGAGTCTCGTCCGTACAATGTCACATGGAAAAGATGCAAGTGTGCCACATGTTCCCGCCAATGCTCCACACACCCCATGAATTGAGTATCTCTCGCCAATGCCATGTTCATTAGCTGTTTTGGTCAGAACTGCATAGCTCCAGAACTGTGCTACTCCAAAGCAGATACTCAGGGCTTGGGCAGGTACATGTCCCTTCCAGAGAGCAGTTAGGCCCTCACTGCGCACTATTACGACAGCACTCTGTATGACTCCATGGTAAAGACCACCACCACGTCGTAATGTCGACTCCACTTGTAACTGAAATCGAATTTTAAGAACATCCAAAGGCTGTAGAAAGCCCCGAGTAAGAAACCCGCTAACAGCACCGGCAAATGCATGATCCTTGGCAGTCAAATGCTCCTGGTTGTCCTTGTACCCAACATGGCTCACCATTACCCTCAGTCCAGCAACAAGGAGTCAATGAACTGACCTAAGTAATTGAGGCAAAATTGTTTATCCTACTCGGCGGCCGCAGGTAGCCGAGTCTGAGCCTAAATACACCAAAAAATCGAAAAAATACGAAAAATGAGTTAATCTTACCGAAAAATAGAGCAAAGATCTGGCAACATTTTGGTGTGCGCCTCGTCTCTGTACGATAATTACATATAAAGCTATCGTAATTATAACAATGGCAACTACGTCATCAGCATGACGCGGCCCAGCTCACCATAACAATAACACGTGCTCCAGCGCGACTCGTTTCATAAAACAGTATCACAGGTATTTTTTTCCTTTTTTTTTTGGTGTATTTTTTAGCTAGATCTTCTAAATAGTAACTGGCAACCATCAGGTTAGCTGTGAGAAGGAGCTGCTCACACCATCTCAAGTCAGTGCCGACTGGAAGTCTGAAGAGAGGAGGGGTATGTCACTTTGTCTGACAGCTGACTAGTAAGTAAGTAAGTAAGTAAATTTATTCAGGTATACACAATACAGTTACATAGAATTATCATACATAGCAGCATATGTGTAGAGAACCTAGGATAACCCAAAAAAGTCAGACAGAGTGACTTATTTCCATTGGGGTCCTTTTACCTTATTATTATAATATAAAGGTTATAATATTTTCTTATTATTCTATAATGAAGATAACATCTTATTATCATACTAAAAAGACTATCTACTACACGAGGGTCATTAAGACTATCTACAATACGAGGGTCATTAAGCTATCTACTACCCGAGGGTCATTACGACTATCTATAATACGAGGGTCATTACTAGGGATAAGGTAAAATTTACACGTATTTTAGCTAAAAAATATAAAATCATTCCCCTCCCTTTCTGTTGCTACCCTTGGGACGTTACTTTTTGCCTTTCATTGTATACATTTTTGGTACACAATGCCTGCAAAGAAGAAACAGTTTGCCAAGAACATTAGCCACAAGAGGAAAAGGCACATAGAAGCAATGATAGGTCTATACAAGCAAAGTGAGCAGCAGCTGCTGTGGTTGGTGACGCCACCACGATGCTAGTACCACCACCCTCCTCTCAAGACCTATCCAGTCCTTGTGGCTTAGCGCTTCTTTTTTGATTATAATAATAATAATCAAGACCTATCCTTGTTCACTGCTACTGAACTTTTTTTTTTTTTATATTTTTATTTAAAACAGAGCAAATACAATAATGTATAAGAGTATAAAATTAAAAACCATACTAGATATTACAAAACCTCTAGTACACAATCCCGGTACATTTTAAGAACACCATAGATCATGGCCATATTACAACCATATACATAACCCACAACCATATACATAACCTACAAACCCTCCTTTTATAATAATCATTATTGCCAGTGCAGACACAGCTGACACTTCTACCCCCCCCCTCCCCGTATGTACAGTCACCGTTCTAAATAACATACATTGAATTATCCTAATGAAAGGTCATACCCTGACCTCATCAAAACCTAAGAGTTGGTAGTGCATGAACAAGACACAAAAACACAAATTTACAGACTAAAACAGATATGAAACATTACATTCCTATACACATACACTGTAATAAGTAGAAGAATATACACCACCAATATGATATCAAATATTAATGTTAACCATGAATTACAAACATTCAAAACATTGCATATCGTGAAGTTCACACTAAAAATACAAGATAATACACCACATGCCACATTAGCGGTACAATACTAGGCTATGTAAATTATTTAAAGAACCCAAGACTAGAACATGAATAAGTATTATCCAAAAGGTTCATCATGATTTTAGTAACTTAACAACTCCAAACTCCTTATAACACCTACCACGCCACATACAAACTTACCAATAACGTAACATACATTCCACAAGACTACTTTCGCTGTGCCTTCTAGCACGTGCCTAACTAGTATTACTTACAAATATAGATACAAAAATTTTAATCTAGAGAACTAATCCTTATCCACACACGTTTACATAATAGGAAATTACTTTAAATCTGATGCAGGAACGCGTAACAAAATGGCAAAAATAACTCAGTTCTTCAAGGTACATAGTGAAAGGAATATCCTCTCAAGAAAAGTTTAAAATTCAATTGCAAGACCAGTACAAGCGAAACATAATACGCTACCAAAGGAAAATATACATATTATATAATTTATATATTTAAACTGCCATTTACACCTTCCCCATCAAGGGAACTAAGCTAAACTAATCTTTCACAACCTCTCATCTAGACCCACACGAGTACCTCCAATCACACCCAATCACCCATCATTGCGCACCCAAGGAGGTGAGCCCGTTGAATAGATAGATAGATAGGACTCACAGGTAAGGACCCACGAGGGGCGAGGGGCAAGTGGGGACAGTGCGAAGAATAGATGGTGAGAGGAATGTCTTGAGTTGAAGAGAAAAGAGTCAGGACTAGACCCAACTGCTAAGCCTGGATAAACAATAACGAAGTTGACTTAAAAAAATATAACAGGGACTCTGCGGGTGCTGACAGCAACTGACTGGAAGCACTTTAACCTGCAATGACTGGATATGGTTCAGGGGCATGTTGTCTTCAAAGGCGACGCAAAACGCACATCGCAAGCACTTCAGCCCTAAAAACGCACAAAGACACAGCTATACGGCAATGGCACTTTTAAGTTATTTGAATATTTAAGCCAAAAATCAGATAAGTTATGTGTATTGTGGTGGAGGCCGTTGAATACCCCTGAACCCCCCCTCCCTTTTACCAACCTACTCACCCCGGCAGTTAAACCCCTTATAACGCCAATAAATTCCCTATTGTTAGGCCTCTATAACCCTCGGAAAAAACCTCATCCCACCTTTTCCCAAAAATGTCTCTATTGCGACACAAGGTTCGATAAAACGTCGCCGCCAAAGTCCTTCTCAGCACATCCCCACCCCACAAAACATATATGTAGTCCACGATTACATATGTTAAACCCCTTACCACACCCTCATCCACACCATCATATCAAGACTCAACGCTCGCAATACCGACACACCTTGACCCCCCACCCTCACCACAACCTTATTCATCCATACCCTGATGCACTCCAAACTTCACAAAATAGACAACATGATACGCAGTCTCTTCCCCACTGCATCTGCCACACCCCCACCTCGATAACCCTCCTATCTCGGAGCATCGCTCCCGATGGCAAAATCTATGCAGGAAACGATACATAACCTCACGTGGCCTAGGTCGTATCCCTTTAAATTTTCTAAATCTTCGCCAATATTACATCCCATGCATACATGGGGTAGATCCCTTCAACCGGCCGCCATACATTTCTCTCTAACAATTTAATAAGTTCCACCTTTACTTTTCCCGGTTCCCTGGCTAACACTAAAGCACGTAACACTGTTTCACATTCCTTCTTTCCGCCCTCCATACCATTTCCTCAGGTGAGCATGTACCTTATCTAGCTGCCCCCCCCCTCCCTGCACCCGCACTTATCACTTCCTCTTAATAAAAACACATTTCACGCGCTTTCTCAAGTCCAACAAACCTAACCCTCCCCCACATACCCGGGAATGTCACTACCTCCCTTCGCAACCAGTTGCACCTGAGCCCACAAAAATTTGAACACCATTCTAAGAATACTCGTGATCGCTTTTTCCTGTTAACGGCATCACTGCCGAAACAAACCAGACTTTACTATATAGTATACATTGATGACGATTGCACGTTGCCTAAGGGTTAAATGGTGCGGGTCGCAGCATTCCCAAACGTCGCTGCACCTGTTCCACCATCCTATTCGAATTGCTAATCCCTTTCAGCACTCAGGTCAGCCTCATAAACGACACCACAGATTTTCAGATCCTGGTTCTCCGCTGCACAACCCTCACATCCCAATCTAATCTCCCTGCCCACTCTCCCAACCCCATTATCATTGACTTTTCCAGATTTACCTTCATCCCAGTAGCTCTCCCAAATTGTGTACAACTTCCTCCAAAAGTCCTAACCGTGTCTCCTCACTCACCAAAATAGTTGTATCATCAACATAGCCCACCAAACCAGGCCAAGGCTTCTGCTCACCATCCCCATCCCCTGTCCTTAGACGATCCTCCACCATCCTATAAAAGGGATCCTGAACACATGCAAACAAAAGTTGTGATAATGGACATCCCTGCCGAAGACCTCGCTCCATGGTGACTCTCTCCCCTACACACCCATTGATTTGCGACCTTACCTTCGCGTTTGAGTACAACGTATCCACCCACCCCACTATTTCTTCGCCAAACCCCTGTCGTAGGAGAATCTGCTACTGAACTATTGGATATTTCATGTTCAGAAACAAGTTAGACAAAATATAGGAGCCCCGGAAATATGCCCACCTCCACCACGGCTGCTACTACCACAACTACTACCTCCACTGCTGCCTGGAGGACATTAGATAATCATGTGTCCACCTACATCCAGTCATAGGTACGTAATTATTAGTGTTTTTTTGGTATATTTTTATATTGGTATGTGTATAAATATCATATATGGGTGCAATTACATGTATCTGCACATAATCACTGGGAATAATCACTGGGAATAGGATTTTGAGAATTCATTTCTTTCTTTTCAGATTGATTGGGATGGATTGTTATGATTGGCCGGCCACCAGAGAACTTCAGGACAAAGGGATCTTCATGGAACTTCAGGAATAATGTCTATATAACCAGTTCTACTCTCAATAAACGTATAAAGGCACTATGAGTATTTTTACCCACTGTATAGTAATGTTCAATGTATTTGTTGATTTTTTTCAAAAGTGCATTTATTTGTATTTTTCTGAGGTAAAACCATTATTTATGAACCGATCATTCTGAATTTTACAAAAGTTATTCAGGGGAACCAGTTTGACTTTGTAATGGAGTTGTCTTGGGTAAATAATCCCTTCAATTTTGCATAAATTGATGTAAAGTGCAAAAAAAAAAAAATTAAAGTAAAGACATAATATTTTTTTTGGGTACCATAAAACATGTTATTGCATTATTTATATCCATTAGATGGTCAACTTGGCATTACTTTATCATTTGTGATTATCAACAATGATTTCGAGATTGCCAATATTGACTTGCGTTGCTATAAGTGTTGCCATGTCCAATTTTTCACATTTTTATTTTTTATAACTTTATTTATTGGACGATCTTGATGCAACTTTCACCACATGAGGCTCAATATGCCTAAAGTCTCTGGTAAAAAAAATCAACGAAATCGAGCAAAGGAAAAAAAAAAAATTCAGGCTGCCTGTACCCTTTAGTGGAAAATATTTGTGGACAAAAATTCTCTCTTACCAGGGAATTATTGCAGTCGAGAGATCCCGAATGTAAAGAATAACTTGAGAACAATATCTTTAAGACAATAAATTATTACCTAGCAATACTGTAAGTCATATTAAGTGAAATTTGAAGTAAATTAAAACTGCTTGTCTCACCTTGTGGTGGTAATGTGGTTCCCCACATATCTCCCTGTACACATCCAGTGAACTAAATGTTAAAAGAACTCCAAAGCTATGTTTAGAAGTTAGGAGAACCAAGGGAGGTGAATGGATGAATCAGAGGGCCATCACTCGTAGTGCGTCTCACAAACGAGACGTCATCAGATCCGCCTAGCTTTATCTTGGCGATGTAGTCAAGACAACGCTAGGCGGAAATTCTTCATACTATCGTAGGTCATCCTGAAATGGTAGATTAACAATAATCGGGTCTTCTAGTAAAATCGCCCGTATATGACACACGAAGCAATACGATCTTTTTGACGCAACAGTTGTAAAACCTCCCTGCTAGGAGAGGTCTAGCAATTTTATTTTTTTCTTATGTTGATAGTGACGATTATTTATTGATACACGATGTGACATTAGTCATTTAGTTTATGTACAGTATTTATTTCACTCATTTACTTATACAACTAGATATTTAAATTTTTTTTAAGGTTAGATTTGTCATATAAATCAAGGGCGCTGCTTGGTCACTGAGCTGTTCTCGTGGATGCACATATTTACTAAGTAAGGAACGAAAAAGAATACATGGAGAATTTCCGTCGGCATTTTCCTGGCCTGTCTACGATACGATATGGAATTTTTATTAATTTTTTGTATAAGTATTTCCTGTCGAAAATTTATGTTTTCCACACACTTATGATTACCTTTGTTCTTCTTTCCATTACATTATTTCTCCTCATTCTTTAGTGCTATTTTCCATTATCTTCCCTTCCTCTTCCTCATTATATAGTTTATTTTCTCTCACGTCCTCCCTTTAATCTTTATTCTCAAGCCGAGACTTGACAACTCCCAGGCTCTGCCTCCTTCAGAGCATCATCCCATCAGAGCAATCTATCTTCACGGGTCATATGGTCTTCCACTTGTAAGGTTCTCCTTGGTATCTGCAAGAAGACACTGCGGCTTGACACAGTCATGTTGTGGCTGGTGTCTCCCTCCTACACATCGCCTGGACAATAGAATTTGCGGCGATTTTCGTTTTTCGTTTTTTATTTTTTGTCTTTTTTTGCCACTATTCTGGATTATTTTTTTTAACTTTCAATATTCATCAAGCATATTTTTCTCTCGCTTGTGATTTTGTGTTAGTTTTTCGTGTACTTGACTACATGTTTGCTTGTGTGTGTGTGTGTGTGTGTGTGTGTGTGTGTGTGTGTGTGTGTGTGTGTGTGTGTGTGTGTGTGTCTGTGTGCGCGTGTCCGTGTGTGTGCGTGTCTGTGTGTGTGTGCGTGTGTCTGTGTGTGTGCGTGTGTGTCTGTGTGTGCGTATGTGTCTGTGCTCACCTAGTTGTACTCACCTAGTTGAGGTTGCGGGGATCGAGTCCGAGCTCCTGGCCCCGCCTCTTCACTGATCGCTACTAGGTCACTCTCCCTGAGCCGTGAGCTTTATCATACCTCTGCTTAAAGCTATGTATGGATCCTGCCTCCACTACATCGCTTCCCAAACTATTCCACTTACTGACTACTCTGTGGCTGAAGAAATACTTCCTAACATCCCTGTGATTCATCTGTGTCTTCAGCTTCCAACTGTGTCCCCTTGTTACTGTGTCCAATCTCTGGAACATCCTGTCTTTGTCCACCTTGTCAATTCCTCTCAGTATTTTGTATGTCGTTATCATGTCCCCCTATCTCTCCTGTCCTCCAGTGTCGTCAGGTTAATTTCCCTTAACCTCTCCTCGTAGGACATACCTCTTAGCTCTGGGAATAGTCTTGTTGCAAACCTTTGCACTTTCTCTAGTTTCTTCACGTGCTTGGCTAGGTGTGGGTTCCAAAAATGGTGCCGCATACTCCAATATGGGCCTAACGTACACGGTGAACAGGGTCCTGAATGATTCCTTATTAAGATGTCGGAATGCTGTTCTGAGGTTTGCTAGGCGCCCTTTTGTTGCAGCAGTTATTTGGTTGATGTGCGCTTCAGGACTGTGCCTGGTGTTATACTCACCCCAAGATCTTTTTCCTTGAGTGAGGTTTGTAGTCTCGACCCCTAAGAC